ACCCCAAAAAAAATTAAACAAGCGAGTGCCTGTTTTTCCTGGCCAAGGTCAGGGTCCTTGAACACAACACGAGTTTAACGTGTCATCACCTGGTCATCACGTGGTATATATCTCGTTTTACAGGGGTGCAGTCCCGCCTGGAGAGCACCAGAACGTCGCTCCGGAACTTTCACAAATTGCAGTACCCATAAGCACATGCCGCAGTTTCTGCGTGGCTGTGTCTTTAGTTGTAAGCCCAGTGGCGATCTGTTCATCTGTCATACTGATCATACAGTCAATAACTTTGTTATTATTAGCATCTGGTTAGCTAGCTATGCTAACGAATATAACAAGCTTTTTCTACAACCAGTGAGGTAAAGGCAAATCTTTATATGATCATTAGTTATACAAAAATAAGAGAATAAAGTAAACAGGTATAACATACTATATGACAGTAAAGAGAGTGATTTGTAAAATATCCGTAAAGAAAAATAAATCTGCTTACAGTTCTGTTTCATATGGGTGTTGAGAGATGTATCCATAGATCTCTTCATGTTGCTCTCAAAGTGCACCAGATTGATGTTTTTAACTTCAATATTTTAAAAAAAAATCTTCCCGGGGGAGCATGCCCCCAGACCCCCCTAGAGGAGGTTAGGTCCCCCCCCCCACCTAAATCATGTTCACATGGATAGGAAACTAAATACATTTGCACACATCTTGTGTCCATATCTTTCTGTTTTGGTGGTCATGCCACAACCGTGTCACGGTAAAATATCTGGATTAAGAGGTTGCTTTTTCTTTGCACAGCATGAAAGAAAGGCGAAATGAAGATGGCTGTGATTTTAGTATTTTTAAGCAGAGGTCAATAATTTGTACGGCCCTCGGAGGATGTTGTAAAAATTGAAATGGCCCTTGAGAGGAAAAAGGTTCCCCACCCCTGCTCTTCAGCCTCTGCTCTTCATGTGACGAATCACAACAACATCAAAACAGACCAAGCAGAGTACATGCCAAGATCAACCAACAAATGTTGAGCTGCTGTTTGTGGAATTGAAATGTGATCATGTGATGTCTAATTCATAACAGCTGTCAAACAGGGATGTACAGTAACTTGCTGCGTGGTAGTTCCACAGCCTGAAACTGATGACTAATCTATTGCTTTAAGAGGTGCTGTGATCTCTGGTTCCAAAAACTAACTTTCTTGTCCCTACCCCGATTGTAATGAGGTCTCCCTATCCATTGATGTTTTAGTGAATTTAACTGCAGCATGCAAATGTGCAATCTGTAAACCATAAATGATCAAAGAAGAAAGTCACTGATGCAGAGCCTCAATGGTAATCTATCTCTTTCTCTGTTATACAAACTTTATGAGACCAAATCTATTCTTCACTGATTACAATGATTTGGCCAAATCTATACATCCTAACGTTTGCTAAATCCTGAATTTACAGTATCCTAATCCAGGTCAAATTTTGAACACGGGCATTTATGAAACCACTCATCCACTGCAGATGATGATTATGAGAGCTTGATGCAGTACAAAACAGATGACATATTTATCATAGACGGACGTTTTCATACACACACTGAAAAAAAGGGGAAAGTGGGGTTGTTCAATTTGCAAATATGCATTTAATATATGAAACATAATTTATTCATGTTTCTCGTCGAAACATGAATCAATCATGTAGAACTATGTAATCTTGAGGGGTGTACGTTCTATAAGTCTCAATCATGTTAAGAAATAAGAAAAAAGTTATGTTTATCTCTGTAACTCCCCTCAGCTTCTAATTATTATTTACAAATATTTTATTCACAAATTAATATGGTCGGACTCAAACCCGTACTTTAATAGTTTCGTAATTGAACCTGAACAATATGGCACTTTAATGGACAAGATGTAAAGCAGAAAAAAATTGCTAAATATATTTATTTTAAAAATGTGAAGCTTTTTCTTTTTTAAACAAAGGAGGGGGGGAGGGGTTCTACCATTTTTTCTTCCCGCATCGGAGGAGTAAGCTGGTTCTGTCCCGAGAACATCTCTACAAGGTAAAAGTTATTTAAAGTTATTTAATGTCATCAAATGTTCGTCATAGTTACAGGTTATCACAAGACGCATTGTTTGCAAAAAGCAGAGTTCACATTTGCCGTTACAACGAGCAACGTAAATACAGCTGTCAATTTGTAAACATTGTCATTCACTGGTGTTAGCTAGGATAAAGCCATGAAAATCATAAGGTGAGTTTATATTGATTGACTTGTGTTTAGCGTGTTTTTTAATACTGTGAGTATTTGTAGAGCGTAAGTCCGACAGTTGCTTGATTTACAATATTTAAAACTATGAACCTTGCCCAAAGTTATGCACATTAAACCGAGCTCAGTGGGGAGGGGGGAGTCATAGCTGATGGATGAGCTTGCGGCATGTTTGCATGTCTATAGGCTACGTCTTGTTTTAAATTATTGTTTCATGCTCTGTCAGGCGGTGTAGAACTTTACTGCGTCGGTCCGGCTCTGCATGTCTACTCTTGTGCCGACTTTTAAGGGCGCTGATGCAGATTGTAGGCCTACCTTACGTTAAGCGACCATCTTTACCCATTTAAGGTGTTGATTGTTAAAGATACAATATTGTCTGTGGGACCGCAGTGTTTTCCCTAAAAAAACTGTGTTTATGTCTCTGCTTTGATCCGCTCTGTGTTCATGTAAATACCGTAAATACACAAGCAAAACAGATCAAAACAGAGACACAATATTGTGTGTGGGGGTGTGTCCTGGAAAGCGACACTTGATACTGGAAAGTGGAGGATATTAATGATTGTGTTACATTTTAGCAGCGGTGCACATACAATATGGGGGACATGCCGGACAGATCAAGTAAGGGTTACGATCCACCCGCTGTGAAATGAACTTATCTTCCATATTTGCCGTAGGCCTACACTTGTGTTTACAGAAGTTGAGATGTTTCTCGGTTGTGATTGGTTGTTCCTCGTCACATGACGAGCGCTGCGAGCTGCTGCAGTGCACGTCTCCATTGAAACCAATGGAAATGAGCTCGCAACGCTGATGTGTATCACTCCGTACAAAGTTGTACTATTGCATTAGTATAGGCTACTGTAGCTTTTTACACTGGAGGCGCCCATCTCGGCCGAAGGCGGTTCATATTAACCTAAAGGTACATAATTAAATGGTAAATGTCGCCTTTAAGGAGCAGAACATTTTTGTTTTATTTGTGTGTGAATAATGAAATAATTTTAAATATGTTTTTCTTGTAATAGGTAATTGGTGTGGAGAAGATTGACCTCAGCCTTGCTTTGAACATTGTTCCAAAGGCTCTGTAGTAAATGGTGAGTATTCAAATGTTTTGTGTGATTTACTTGACTAACTTAAACTTGATCTTTAACTAATTGAAAACTGGTATTAGTCTGACAATTTCTGAATATTTATTCATAACATTTACATACTGCAAACATTGCAGGGATATACACATTTTCTGATTTATTAGGCAAAAGTTATTCAGAAAGTGAGAGGCAAAAGCCAAACATTCTGCGATAAAGCCTCCTTCACAAAAGTGATAATGTTTTGTTTGTTGAAATGGCTATGAGGGTGTTTCTTATGTAGTCTTATATTACAGTAATACTTATTTTAAGTCGCTTTGGAAAAAAACGTAAACTAAATTAAATGTAATGTATTCTAACCTGGTTGTTCGTACTTGATATAAAAAGTTATTCTCACTATAGAGCCAAAACAGGAGTAATGTGGTCCCTTTTCCATGCTCTGGTCAATACATTTTGAATCAGCTGAAGCAACTTAACTGAGTTTTTGGTACACCCTGATAATAGAGAGTTACAATAAGCTAGCCTTGAAGTAACAAATGCATGGACTAGTTTCTCTACAGCGTTTTGAGGCAAGATATGCCTGGTATGTGATTTTGTAAATACATTTAGCACACAACTACAATCAACATCTTTAGAAAAGGAAATTATTTCATGATTTTTATGACTGTGATATTTTGTTTTCTTTGATAAATACGGAGTTTAAGCGCATAACAACCCTGCCCCTCCAATCAAGATTTCTCTCTCAGCTGGATCTGCTATCTGACAAACTTCTGAAGGTTTTTGAGAATAGAGGAGGACAGATAGGCCAGCGTCTGAACTGTATTATGTCAAACATGACTCAAGTAAGAATACATTTTAAGGAAATTATCCATCGAGTCAATAGTGTACATTTCATTGAGCAAAATAGATTCTTTCTTTTCTTATTCCCCTTCACTTAGGTTGATGATGTCGATTTAGGCCGGGATTGTCTTCTCAAGGGGATGTGTGTGCACCTCAATCAGAGAGTTTGTGGTCAGTAGAAGTCATATTTGACCTTTAGATTTTTTTGCTGGGCTTTAAAATATGTATTTATTGAAACACCACATAGTATATAGCCTAAACCCTAAAGTATGTGAACATCCCTGTTTTTTGTTTAATAGCCAGACTACACTGAAAAGCTAGAGGGCTTTTAATTTAAAACGGATACAGGAAATGAAACATTTTTTATCAGGTCAGACAGGAGTATATCAGATAACAAGGAGGCTGAAATCTGACCAAATGTACTTGTTAAACACAGGGATTCAGTAATGGGTATACTTATATGTATTGATTTGTTAGATCTCACTCTGTTCCTTTTGTGACTGTGCGCTCTGCAGGCAGAAGATGAAGACATCATTCTGCGGTCCATTCAGGGGATTACAGTGGGACTTTATGTTGTCAAACACAATTCCACCATGAGACCAGAGGACAGATTGTCCTGGAAGGCCAACAGGTAGTCTACTAACTGATGTGGAAAACATTGCATTAGCTGCTACCATGCTGTTTGGA